AAATAATTATTTATGTGTTAGTTTCTATATGGATAAAAATCCAACGTGTATAAAAACACTGTACTAACAGACAGAACATAGTTAAAAACTATGCTGATGAATGTACGTTATGGCTACTCACAAACTTAAGAAAAAGACAGTCTTGGAATTATGTGCCTCCATATCATTTAGCTTTTGTTTAAGATTGGAAAGGTTGGTTGGTCCTAAAGGTATACAGCAAACAGCCAAACCATGTAGATCAAAATTAATGCATAATAGTGTAGACTATGAAAATGGGTAACTAAACATACAAATGGTGATCCTTAACGATGCCACATCAAAGGCCAAATGACTAATGACTTCATGACTAATTTAACACAACATAATCCCTAAGAATTATTTTAAGTTTAAGATCTCTGCTGCTCATAGGAATTTATAAATCTCCTTCCTTAATGGCAATATTATTTATCAAAATAAGTCTTTATTTTAACCTTGTAATCTATTAAAAAACTATGTCTTCTATTTTCACCTTTTATATATGTAGGAGGGTCATATTAGAAAATTAACAACAACCCTAACATTAAATGCTAACACTTACATTAGTTTAGAAATTCCTTGACTTACCTATTGAAATGATTAATCAGAAGCAACCTTTTTCTCTCTTTCTGAAAGAGGTTGGGTATGGGGAACTATCTTATTCTGAAACATGTAAATAATTAATTGCAACTTTATATTAACACTAGGCAATAAATATGGACTAGAATTCTCTATGGAAAAAAAGGCTGGGAGGAAACTGTAGAGAACATGAGCTTTGAAGTCAAAGCTATGAACTTGGAAGCTAAATTCTGTTATATTCATTAGTCATCAGACCTTGGACAAATTACTTGTCTTCTATTTTGTTTATTCAACATAAAAATGAGTATAATTTCTACCTTGAAGGGATTTTTGTGAGGATGAGAGTGGATACTTAATGTTTAAGAGAAGTTATTTCATCTTTCAACAACCTCTACCTACAAATAAGACAAACTGGTCACTGAAAGATCAAATTTTTCTGCTTTTTAAAAGTATAACCATACTGTGAATCCTGAGGATATCACAGCAGAAGTACAGGCCTTTAACCTTTTTGAGGTCACAGAGCATTTTGAATGTTGGGGAAAGGGAGGATAATAGACACATGAAAAAATTGCTACACACAACTTCAGGAAGTTCATAAACTCCTTGAAGACTATAAAGCTAAAAAAAAATAATCCCAAGTTAAAAAAATTAATGTTGTATATCTGACTCACTCCCACCTTAATAATATACAGATATAAATGAGAAAGAAAAGGATTAAAGGAAATAATCCTTCCCAGTTAAGAGTCACAAGTGTTCTCCACCAAACAGAAAAACTCAATTCCCACAATGGAAGCAAAAGCTCTACTGACTTGTATTCAATAGCAGGTGCTGCTGGCAGTTTCTACTTTGTCACCACAGGAACATTCAGGAAGCTTTCTTTCCTCTTTGCCCTGGAAACTTGATGAAAACCAAACCATGATTGTCCTCAAGGAAAAGAGTTTAGTTCTACTTTCCAAATTACTGATTTAATAAGGCAAGCTTATTTATTGCTTAAAATGAAGACCATTCTTTGGATTTTTTTGTTACTTCAATTAATGACTTCAAGGGTCACTCGAATCTTCTTCCCTTATGCTCTAATTGCTTTCAAAATGTAAACTATTAAATAAAAAACTGCCTAAATGAAGTCAGCATCTAAAACTAAACAAAAAATTTAGAATCTAAAAATTTACTCAAATTCTTGTCAACATGCATATATTAATATATATATTCAAGTGCATTCAAACAAGCATTTAGTAGGCAGAAAATGAGTCTTATTTATTGCTTATATATGGTAACTGCTCAATAAATACTTGCTGAATACATAATTTATCCTGAATTTCTATAATAAAAATGAGAATGAAGATAATTGAATATGAATTACATGCACCTAGCATACTGCTTGACACATAACAGAGAATGAACAAACCAATGAATGACTAAATGAATGAACAAATATCAAAAGAAAAATATAATGATTAAAAATTTTAGACAATCCATATTCCAAAATTTCTGCCACATTAATAAGCCAGACACTCTAAGTTTTTAGGTAAATAAATATGAAGTTAAGGGCAAATTATCAAAAACAGTTTAAAGGTTTCCAGCCTAACATAAATAAGGATGCTAAGAAGCTATATCAAAATTAATGAATTATTTGTCCAAAATCATACTGTTATTGCTTTGACTCTTGTTAAAACCAAACCTGACTCAAATAAACCTGCTTGTATACAACTGAATTCAAGACAAAAAAAAAAAAGCAGTTATTAAAAAAAAAGCACACTTTTTACTATGTAGTTTCCAAGATTTAAGAAAAACAAAATACCAAATAGGCATGAAACTGCAGAAACAAAGGTCCAGAGTCAATACAGTTTATTTCAAAGGCTTTTTAAAAAAGCAAAGCCACATAACAAAGTTAAGTAAACAGAATATCACCGTATTATAAAGAAATCATCTACATTTACCCATTTGGTGCCTAAAAATTGAAAAAGCAACCTCCACATTGGGGAGAAAGTTGAAAAAGTCAAGTAAGTCAGGAATTCCAGGTTGGTTAACAAATCTGGGCATATACTTTCTAATTTATGTATTCCTTGAGATACTGGAACTTATTCAGACACACAGGCAGAATTACTAGAGTGGTTCAGAATTTTCTGTAGGTATACTGGAATCATCCTACAAATAGGACACATAAGCCAGTTATTTAAGCTACCTTTGTCTTTGTGTCACGTTATCTAAAACGCAAAGAATGATATACCTATGTCAAAAGATTTACATGAGATGACATATGTATGCAAACCTGGCACCAAGTTAACTGCTAGTAGCAGTATCCCCAGTGGCCCTAGAATTTCACTGCTGGGACAAAACGTACATGCATGGCATAGTAAATGTTTGTTCAATGTATGAAAGAGAAAATTCCATTAAGAAATTCTGAATGACTGAACAGTTGTGCAGATAAACTAGAAAAAAAGGTTCCAGTTTTCTGGAACATATTTATTCTGCCAAACAAAGCATGATTTTAAGATTTCATTCAAAAACACTAAGTGCTAGGCACTGTGTACACTCTGATGCCAAAAGAAATGGTAAGTTGTATGCCAAGTGAAAACAGGATAGGCCCTTAAAAAGGAAATTGAAGGAGGTTTCTCTATATTATAAAGAGGTATTTAGCCAAGGTTTGGGTACAAAGTAGAGAAAGGAATTGAGAGAGTCATATTTTTAAATTAAATAGTCACCTATCCAAGACATCAATGTCACCACAGGAGGAGCAGGCCAATCTACATAGGACATTTTGTCTGCCTCACTTACCAAGATATTGAATGGTGAAACATTAAGAAAGATAACCTCAAGAGGGAACTCTGGGGTGATGGAAATGTCCTTTACCTTGTTTTATGTGGTGGTTACATAAACATATACAATTACCAAAAGTAATATAATTAAGCACTTAATAATTGTGAGTTTTATTTTATGCTAATTACACCGTTAAAAAACTTTAAAAAAAGTGCTCCCTACTTTTCTTATTGGAAAATGTGATAATTTAAACACAGCATGACAGAATTTATACTCATCATAAAATTAACTCCAGAATGATCTGACCCAACTCAAAACACTATTTGGGCAAGGTATTCTTTTAACTTTTCAGTGACAGGTGACGTAAAAGAAATTCTTTGAGATCACAGACTACTAGAATTTCCCATGTTTTATTGTGTGCAGAATCTAGAAATAGACATGCACTGTTTGGCTACATTTCTTTCACATGTTGGTCAAAACTTTATGTTTGAGGATTATCAGGGCAATGTGCTTGTTTGTTTCACTGCTTGTCTTGTGTATGTTTGGAGGAAAGTGCTTGGGAGAAAATAGGACATACATTACAGGGTTTTCAACTAGAAACCCAAAAACCCGCATTTAGCTCTAGGACTAAAATGTACAGGGTAACTTTGGACAAGTCATTTAAATATCCTCTGACTGTGATAACCAAGATCACAGGGTTGTCATAGAGATGGAAACAGGTAGGTTACCCCTTCCCCAAAAAAGGGGGTGGGAGAGTGATGTCTCCTCCACTATTGAACTTCCTGAACTCTAGATTTCTGAGATTTGACCTTCCAAAACATTTGGTATAATCTGGTTAAAAAAAATTTTAGAAGAGGAGTGAGGAATAAGGCCTGGATTAAGATAAATTCTTTCGCCCCTAGTCTTGTCAACAATCAGGGGAGAGATGAATTGCTCCTGGGGTAGAGAAAGCTTGACTCCTAAAATACCCTGTCAGAAAAGCAATCAGCAAACATTTACTGTTTTCCTTCACAAATCTTTAGCACACATCTCAATGCCTCCCTCAAACTGCGTCCATGCCAGGCACGAGTGACAGCAAGGCCTAGATGTCTCCAGATCATTCATCACAACTACCACCCCCCACCCCTTCCATTCCAGGTCCAGCGGCCTCCAGCCATCATCACCCCCTTCTCTCCGCTCCCCGCCCCAGGGCCGCCAGCCTCACCAGCTGTTCCCGGCGGCTGGAGCTCCGATCGGTTGGCGCCCGGCGGCCCCGAACATTAACAACACCCAGGAGCCTGGCCTCGAGGCTCAGGCCCGAGAACTGACTCCGACTACTACAGAACCGGCGACTTGCAAAGAGCAGTTCAGCATTTTGAGATGAGCTTCCGGAAGCAGACTGGAGGCGGAAACCGGATGCCCGGAGCAACCATTGCTTCTCCTCCTCCTTTCCCTTCTTGTAATCGCCATAGAAGACATAGAGGCAAATAAATTAAACTTTTTGTCACACAAAATTTCTTAATTCTCTTTTTAGGATTCTTAAAACTTAAACAAGATGAAAGTAAAGAGGCGTGAAGAAATAGTAGGGCCCCTGGGAATGGCCTTTGGTTTAGTCCAGTTGCCATGGAGACCGACAGTAACACCAGTTGTAAACTCCATGGCAAGAGGTTATGGCCACCTTAGCCCGGCTGCAAGCTCGGCGGTTGACTCTAGGAAATCAGTACTACTTTAGGAACAGGTAAGTCACGAAGGACTGATGTGACTTTAGCCATTTGTTCCTCAGCAGTAGTTTCTTAGTCACAAATTCCCTGATTTAGTAAGTAGCACCCAATTCTCCCCTCAACGGGCTGCAAACATAATCAGTTTAAAAGTAGTGTTATCATACAGGGAGATAATAGATAGAGAGGGACCATAAGTACTCAGCTTGAGATGATTTAAGGAAACGCCCAGCATAGATAAAATTGTACAGTGAAGTGGGTTTTTTTTTTTTTTTGGACATCATTATTCTGCAATTTGATGAAACCTATGTTCTTCCCGTGGAAGGTTTCCTGGCCTGACTGGGTTCACCCAGGCCAGCTAGCTTAGTGAGCTCACGTCCCCCATCTACCTAGGGAGTTGAGCCTTCATTATTTCACAAACATCACTGAACTCAATTATTCTATGACTCATTTGTCTTCTTCAAGTGAAAGTATCTAAACCATTCTGACAAGATAATTAGTACCAATAAATTAATTACTAGAAGAGGGCTAAGGAAAACACTAGCAGCCTTCTTCGTCTTCCTGCACTGAAATTTCTGGCCCAAGAAGAAGTTCATTTTAAAAATGGCCTTCTGGAAGCATTGCCCCAGGAGTTTTTCCAACTTAAGAGAAACTGCAAAAAAGTGATTTAGACTATGATAGAATATAGTGACTAATATTTATCTCACTTACTTCATTGTTGTTTCACCATGTATCTCTCTTATGGCACTGATCACAATTTAATTTTACATTATTTTTTGAGATAATATCTATCTTCCCTCTAAACTAGAAGCAGAGACAGTGTCTCTTTTTTGCTCGCTATTATTTCAGTCTTCAGTGTCTATCATAGTTCCTGACACACAATAGCTGCACAATAATTATTTGCTGAATACTTACAGAAATGACTCTTTCAATCAATCATCGGTCCTGGTTTAAGAAAACATACTACAAATAGCTAAAGACAGAAATTATTTAACATGTATTTAATTAGCATTGATTTAACATATGTGGCAGGTGTTGTATTTATTTATGACATACGTATATAAATGAAATCAGCTCCATCCCTCATGATGTTCACAGCCTAGTATGGCATATAGGCATTGAAAAAATAATTACAGTAGGGTAAGATGATCAGGGAGAGAAACAACTAATGTTTCTTGAGCATTGATAATATAGCAGGCATTACACTAGAAAATTTTCATATGATATTTGGTTTTCACAATTTTACAAGTTAATGTGTTAATCTATATTTAAGAGCTCTAGAATAGTGTTCTAGAAAAGCCTGGTGAAGTGCCACACAAAGACAAATGACAGAATTTCTCTTAAGGGATTTCAATGTCAACTTTTGCCCCCATCTCCTGGCTTTTGACAAAGGACACCTTTCCCCAAACTTGGAGATTCCTTGAAGAAAATGACTGTTACTATGCAAAGGCCGTGGTGAAAATAAGCTGGCATTTCTACAATTTCATTTATTATTGTTAATATTTTTTGGCTTTAAGGGAAGTCTCTAAAGGTCATGAGGGAATCAAAATTCCAAAGTTTGCTTCATTTTTTTAAAATCAGGATATGGATAGCTTTAGTGCAAAAAATCATATGAAATATTAATACATGGAAAAGTAAACAATTCCCTTGAGGAATTATTGTCATTTTCCATCTGTTATTGACTAGATCCAGTTCTTTCCAACCTTGAATGTGCATTAGAATCATCTGGGGAACTTGCTAATAATGCAGATTCTGATTCCGTGTGTCTCAGTGCTAGAGAATCTGCATTTCTCACAAGAGTTCATGTGAAGCCGCATTTTGCATAAAAAGGGAGACTTTGTAGTAAAGGAACTGTGTATGGGCCTAACCTTTAAATCTTATCCTCATGAATTATATACCTATTCCCTTTTTACATGAGGCAAGGAAAATGAGATTCAGATAGATTAGGTAATTTCTGTAAGGTCACACAACTACTAAATATCAAAGCAAAGCAACCTAACTCTAAGACCTGTGCTGTTCACTGCCACAAGTTTTTCTTCCTACTAAGCCAGTCAGGTAAAGTGGCAGCAAGCACCAAGATCCAGAAGTCCAAATGGCTCGAGTATACTGTTCCAAATCCGTTAATATATGGGCAACAGAGTTAAGGAAATTCTATTTCTTCTTGGTTTCTTTCAATGTCTTCCTTCTATGTTGGTAAAAAGGTAGTAACAAAAATGCTTCTACTTCTTTTGGCACAGGAATGATGCTGAAGTTGAAAAATGACTTTCTTGGGAAAATGTATTACTAGATAGTTAGGTTAAGCATCTTGAGTCCTCCAAGGCCTGGGATTCTGCCAAGGAAAACAGAGGCTCCTCTGCCAATGAAGAGGAAGGGTTTGGGACTCTACGAAGTGAGCAGCAAACGTGAGAGGAGATTATGCAATGAGAGAGCTAGGGAGTTTGGGGTAGTGTGCATTGCCTGACCTACTAAAATCCTCTAGAAAGTTCCTCCCTCAGGGGATGTTTGGTACTCATTTATATTTTGGCCTACACATTAAACAGGCTGAAGATTGTGTCCTGGACATACCAGGCTGAAAAAAAGGTAGTACACAGTTGTTATTTGACAGAGTATTGACATTTTGTTTTTGTTTTTAAAACTTTTACTATTAATTCCTAGCTTCATTTCTTTTTTTCCCTATTATGAGATTTTCTTTGTGACTTATTGGTCATTTGTATTATACTTTATAATATACTTTGTGGAAAGAAAAGTTTGATATATGTTTATTAATCATATTGTTCATTTTCCCCATATCCTTATTTATATTTTGTCTAGTTAATGTGTAAAATTCCAATACGAATGAGTTAAAATGTACCTCTTCTACTGTGTTTCTATAGTAGTATCTCTTGTTTTTATGTTATTTAATTTATATATTATATATGTACTTGTGCGTCTCTTCATTAGTGGCTATATATGGGTGTCTTTCACCTGTTAAATTTTTTACCTTTAAATTCTATTTGCTAGCTGGGTGCAGTGGCTCATGCCTACAATTCCAGCATTTTGGGAAACCAAAGGGGGAAGATTGCTTGAGGCCAGAAGTTTGAGACCAGCCTGGGCAGCACAGCAAAACCCCAATCTCCACAAAAAAATTTTTTTAAAAATCAGCTGGGCGTGGTGGCATGTGCCTGTACTCCCAGCTACTCAGAGACTCGAGGCAGGAGCATCCTTTAGGCCCAGGAGTTGGAAGTTACAGTGAGCTATGGTCACACCACTGCACTCCCGCCTGGATGACAGAGTGAGACCCTGTCTCTAAATAAATAAATAGATGAATAAATAAATAACAGAGCAAGAGCCTGTCTCTAAATAAATAAATAAATAAATGAAATTCTGTTTGCTGTAACATTGCCGTTAATCCTTCTTTATCTGATAGGAGTTAATCATATCATTCTGTATGTTTTTCTTTGCAAGAGGCAAATTTGGAGGCTTTTAAAAATCAAAACTAAGGAAATTTATGATTGATTAAGTTAGTTTCTTTACATTTATTATTGTGATTGATATATAGGGATTTCACTTGTCACCCTATTTTAAGCTACTTTTTAATTCTTGTTCCTCTTTTATCATGACTTTTTTCTTTTTTCATTGAGGTAAAATATATGTATATAATTTACCATCTTTAACATTTTAAGTGTACAGTTCAGTGATAATAAACATATTTATATTATTTTTCCCTTCATCCATGACCTCTTACAGATAAGCTATATTTTATTTTAGATTTTAAAATAAGGAACTTATTTCTATTCTTATGAGAACTTAAGGTATTCTACTAAGATTCTCAATGCTGTAATTATGAATTAAATATTCACTAATGAAATATTTCCTGAGCTACTACTGTATGCTAAGTACTATTCTAAGTATTGAACAAAAGTCATGAGGGAAACAACATAAAAAAACAAACCTATATGTAGTATTTCAGCTTGGGATAAGTGTACTGGGAAAGAATAAAGTGAAGTAAGGTGAACAGAGTGAACAATGATGCTATTTTGTATAGAATGGTCTGGGGAGGCTCTTCTGAGGTGATATTTGAGTGCGGTCCTATAAAAAGTGAATAAATGGGCATACTAGATAGATATCTGGGAGACAAAAGCACCGTAAGGAGGGGCTGGAACAGGAAGTGGTATAGTCCTGTTGTCAGAAGCCTGCAAAGATGTGTTGGAGGACAGTGTTACTAAAACAGAGTGAGCAAGGCACAGAGTGGTAGAATGTGGGCCAAGTTATCTGGGGCTTTTAAGCACAGTAAGAATGTAAGATTCTATTCTGATTGAGATAGGAAGCCATAGGGGGTTTTCAGCAGAGAAGTGACATGATCTCACTTCTGTCTATAAAAATAATATATAAAGTGACCTCTGACTAATTTTTAAGTTAAAGCATTTTGCTTTTGTTTTTCTACTTTCCTCCTCCATTTCCATCTTTTTAGTTTAACTCTTTGTGTCTAGATTTTTTGTTTCTTACAAAATTTAATTCACATCTGCTTCTATAAAGGAAAAAAAAGGATGACAATTGAAAAACTTTTAAACCATATATAGTTTTCTAAAGATATGGAAGCTAAAATCAGTGTGATACATACACAAATCTTTTTTAATTGACTTAGCTGAATGGAAAAGTACATGTAGGTAAATATTGAGAAAGCAGTTACTGAGGAGGATGGCTAAATATTCTGTAGAGACGTTCCTTAGAGACAAAGTGTTCACCTGTCAAATTTCCAGATCTTTTACCATCTAAAAGGGGTATAGGGAGTGCATAAGAATAGAGACAAGAAAGTAGAAAGAGAAATAAATATTATTGAATTCCTACTATGTGCTGAACACTCTGGTAAATGCTTTCACAAACATCTTATTTGATTATTTACAATATTCTTATGAGCTGATTTTTATTATTCCTAGTTCACAGCTAAAGAAAGGGAGATTTAGTATAAATTACTTGACAAAGATAAAAAAAAAAGATCAAAGATCTAGTGAAGTTAGCTACGTTTCAGTCCAAATTTATA